ATAATTCATCATGCATGCTCCGTTTGCCGAAACGATCACACATACTAATTCAATTGCATGACTGTAATAGTGAACGAAGCGCACAATGAAAGGCCCCTTTTGAGTCTATACTATCTCAATATCTATCTAGCCGTGTACGGGGAATACTATAATTTATTGAAATGTTCAATGAAATAGTTGTAATAGTTAACAATGCGCTACAATAGAATCCCTGCACATCGATACGCCAATTCCTTTCGACGAGACATGCGAACAGCGGTACAGTAATACTCGCTTAAATTCCACAATTTTGTGTCCCTGCAGTGAAATTTACGCGAACAGAAAAAAAACGGGAGGAAGCTATTTCCTTCCAGGAACTGACTCGAGCGTAGCCTGACAAAGGCAGAGAATCGATACAGTGAGCGAAAGCGGGACAGATACAGTCCGCCGAAAATCGAGGGTCGAAACGCGGGACTTCAAAGCGACGCCGCGCGCGTCGAATGCAAACGTGCAATGAAGAAAATTTCAATTGCAGTCATTTTAACCTTACTTTCTCAAATGTAGTGCCAGTAGATTTCTGAAATTGTTCTGATTAAAATGATTCCAAACACGGTGAAAATCGGTCTAGTTTTACCGACTTAATGTACTTAACGAAATTAAAGGTTCGCTTTTCTCAAATCGATAAAACTAAATCGATTTACGTCGCGTTTGAGATACAACGATAAGAAATGAGTATGAGCGTCAACGACTTACTTCTATCTCACTTCGTATTCTGTTTCATTTGCGATCTTCGTTTACGTCAACGTAATCAACCAATAATGTGTCCTCTTGCCACACTTGCTTCTTCACTCTGTTGGACATGTAAATAAACGTCCTCTGTAAACGGTATCAGGATTGTACGTAATTTTTAAATATTCCCTAAAATGAAGAATTTCTCATGGCAATCATGTTGAACTACGACCGAGCCAAAAATGACTTAAAGATACAGGATGAAAAATGGTAAATAACCTCTAAGCATGGTTAACAACGGAATAGCTAGACACATTGACCAACAAACTGTCCATTAAAGAACACGCACTTAAATGTTTCTAAACATATGTGCGCGCATGTGAGATGGTAAATGAGAAAACTGTAGCACAATCGAACGTGCATGTATAAACGCAGGCCTCTATGCATGTTGAAAGAGGAAATCGAAGAACAGAACCAGTTCATTTCTCGGAAGCCGGTCTTTAGTAGGCTCGAACACGCTTCCGTTGAAACAATGGATTTGCATTAGAGGCAATCACAAATTCACAGGGTATTAAGCTCATGTTCGGAGGCGATGGGGCATAGATGCGGAGGATGCAAAGAGCGCGAAAAGGTGACGGAGCAACGGAAGATAGCGACCGGGGGTACGGGAAGTATGCACTATCTGCGGGATCCATGCTATTTGCGCAAAGTGGCCTAACCCCGCCTCTTCGCCCACTTCCTCTCGATTCGACATAACCGCCCGCGTTTAGTCGGTCTGGAGGGTAATACATTGTTTGCTCTTCGTTCGCTAAACTAAACCGCATTCGGAATTAATTGCACGTTAGAAGGCCACGGGATAATTAAAGCCTCCCCGATTACCTTCGCTAGCTACGCTACGATCCCGATGCATTCCTGTCCGACGTCTTCGCCGAAATCAAGAATTGTAATAAAGCAACGCCATTACACCGTAATGAGGACACGTTGATCAAAGAGATGGAAGACTTCGTTTGGGTCTTAGAGACTGTTGATCTTTTGTAGCGGAAGGTTGGAGCAAGCTTTCTTGAAATATATCGTTTACACGAGGCTGCGGTATAATATATTCGAGAATTAGTCGAAGAAGCGCGTTTCCATTTCAGCATGAAATGTTTAGTGACTATGTAACGGAATCTTCAGATGAATATTAATATTGATAAATAGAATGATTATTAATGTGGGAAAAATTATTAATTTCTGTACCTGTTTTGTTACCAGATAATTATGTTTTATATTTGCTGTAATGGTAATGATTATACATGTTAAACACTAATGCCATTTATTTTATAAAGTTAATTGTTTTATTATCTCTTTACATTTATTTAATCGATCTATTGATTAAATTCAGCTCCTGTCAGTGTAACGTCATTATTATGAAATTTAATTTCATTCAAAAAGCATATGCAACATGAATATTGAAAAATCTGTTTATTTTCTGACATATTTAAGATTGAAAAATTAAATAATTAAAAATGTTGTAAATTAAGTGTATAATTAAAGTATCATAAAATATTAACGTAAGTAATTACGTAATTAAAAAATGATTAGTTCTTCTACATGCACTCAGTAAGATAAAGAAACAATCGCTTATACGGAAAAGAAGCAACCCTCCTAAAAGCTACCAGAGATAGAACATACGCCGTGGTCTTTGAAAAAATAAACGAAAGGATGGGCAAACGCCAACAAACCCCAATCGACTTCCCCGATAATCTATTGCTTTTTTCCTCGGCGCGGAAAACCGGCCAGGCAAGGGACCAGCAAGAAGCCATTGTTTCTTCGCGTACGGCCCGTTTGATTGTGCTAATGAAAAATGGGAAAGAAGTAAAACCCAGCTAATGGTTCTACATCGGAAAGTATCAGGGACGTTGACTTTTCGGCAGAGCAGCAGGATGAGTCAGGAATTGAATGTGATCCAAAAGAGCTTATAAATGAATAACATCCATAAAGGATAAGATATCGTGAAATTATACCTATTATCATATATCTGCGGCGAAGCAGTTTTTTTGTGACACATTATTGATGATCATATTTCTTTCCGGTTATGAGAATTATCGACCTCGTAAATATTCAGATACCGATAGTTTTTGCACACGTATCCAATGTAAATGTCCAACGGTAAACTTCTCCGATATCCGACAGCTTACATTTATATTAATAATAATCGCTAATTCGAGATTAAACTTCAATAATAGATTTAAGCGTTTAACGAAAATGGGAAACAGGTTTACAAGTATCATTTGATAGAATATGAGTGTACCACAAATTTTTAGTATTTTACCTTACCGTTAAAAATTTATTACTAATTGTACATTAATTAGTTATAAGTAAGAATTTATGGATTTCGTTATTAATATATTATATCGGAATTTCTCATATTTAAATTCTCCTTTATTTATTGTGACTCTTTAAGCACGTAATTTATATAATTTATATTATTTTGAAGTTAATTTAATTTTTATACAGTTATTATTTACTATTTAAGCTACTATTTAAATGTTTTATTCAGTTTGTCTGCCGAAGAATATTCGATCACAAATTTGTTATACTGTTTACATGTTATACTGTTATATTAATTTGTTATGCCTATTAAGGGAAAAGAAATATTAATATTTTTGTAAATATTGCAAATAATTATAAATATCTGCAATTGTAATATTATGTCCGTATATTGCACTTTAGTTAAATTTAATTTGCTACTAATAACAAGTTTAATATTATAAAATATAATTACAGCTTATTTTGATACATCGAAAGAGACTAAATAAAAAACGAGTACATGTACTCGTACAAATCAATATAATTTGATTGAACCTTCAAATGTCTAAAATTTATTTATGAAGTAGTATTTACATATGAAGTAGAAATATTATAAATTCATACTGAATTCTTAATATATTAATGTGTAATAAAAAATACATATAAAACAATTGAAAAGACCCATCGTGACTCTATGGCAGCAATTTTGAAAAGAATTTTTATTCGGAGAAGTTGGCACCAATAACATCGACATTTATTAATTATAATTTTGTGAAAATACAATTCCATCTGGAAATAAAATTCGTGAAAAAATGCGGCCACATTAAAATATACTTACTGTCACAAATTCATAAATATTCAAAATGCAAGTTTTTTCTAAATGTTCACAGTTTTTATATTAACCGTAAAATGTGCATCAAGCACCACCGGCGACCTGTGTCTCATCGGTGAGATAAGGCAGGTGAAAGAATATTTGCACACAAGTCGATAAGGCAGACAACTCTGGCCATCAACAAGATATGAGAATAGATTGCACACTTGATACACATATAGTAGATCAAGTTAACTGCTTTACCAGCATAGAAATTTAGACGCTCTTCTCTGACCTTCATAAACAACAGTCGATAGAAGAATTATCAACTGAAGTTGATAAAAACTATTCAACATAAGTCTTATCAACTCCAATGTATATAGAAAATGTTTTAAATCTGTTATATTTTTATATTTTATACTAAAGTTTATTCTGATTTTTCAAAATTAAATATTTGAAGTACACCAAAAACTTCATAAAATGATTCCAAACGATTATGAAATGAAAAAATGATAACGAAGTTATAAGGGCTGTTGGTGCTTAATTAAAAAAATGTTGAAATCAATATAACTTGAATTATTTTAATGAATTTATTTGAATTGGTTTCACCTATTTTAATATTCTGCTGAAATACTTCAAGTTTTGTCGTTTGAAGAGCTTTCCAAAATATTGTTAAGTTCTAAAAGCTCTTGCATTTTGACCTGAAATCTCTAAAATTAAAAGAAGAATGTAAAAGTAATCTCTAATCTAATAAATCTTTATTTCAATCGTAAAAAACGAAAGGCGAATATAAAATTAATGAGAACAGAATTTATTATAATGTTTTGAAACTAATAATAATATTTTAAAAATTGTAAAATGTAAAATTAAGTAACCTTTCAAAAAATATTCAATATTTTGAAAATCTATATTTTCAATAAGCTAATTCTGTTTTTAAGACTTATGTTCAAAGCTATAAGCAAAATATATTAAGAAAATTTTATAAATGCTTTTCATTATTGTGACAAACGTAAAGTAATATCGTTATCTTAAATTACAATTTATTGCATAAATATATGTAAGATTATTTTTATTTGTTTTAAAATACATGTACGAGTATAATAATTTTCATGCTCTGATTTTTAAAAACCATAACTGTTTCCATCAATCGATTTAAAATGGTTGTCTGTAATGCTAATAATCTGGCAATAGTTGGCAACACTGTTCCTTTAAAAGAATAGTACTTCATGCGGTACCTGACGTATACAGAAAGTTCTTCCCATCGTGTCATCGATTTATATTAAACATGTAATTGCAGGAAAGGTAAGACATAAAGTATAAAGTGTATTATATAATTTTTTTATGAAATGCCATTATAAACATTCAAAATTCTTTTGCAGAATGAAAAGGATCAATCTATTTTAAGCGCATCCGGTGAAGACAAATTACCCCCAGGGGTGGGGTCTGCTGTCATTTAAAGCCAAAGAAGTGAAAAAGTTATGTTGATCACGTAAGAAATAACATTGAATAATATAACCATGGCGCGACCTATTGTACCTAGTCAGCAAAAGTTGGCAGAAAAGCTAACTATTTTAAATGACAGAGGTATTGGAATGTTAACCCGTATTTATAATATAAAGAAGGCATGTGGCGATGCGAAATCAAAACCTGGTTTCCTGTCTGATAAAACTTTAGAATCTTCTATCAAGACAATTGTCAGGAAGTTTCCCAATATTGATATTAAGGGACTCCAAACAATTACAAATCTACGCAATGAAATTATTAAGTCATTATCGTTATATTATTATACTTTCGTTGATCTGCTAGATTTCAAAGATAACGTTTGTGAACTTTTAACTACAATGGATGCTTGTGGTGTACACATGGATATCACAATAAATTTTGATTTAACCAAAGGTTATTTGGATTTGGTTGTTACATACGTCAGTTTGATGATACTTCTGTCACAAGTAGAAGATCGTAAAGCTGTCCTAGGTTTATTTAATGCAGCCCATGAAATGGTACACAACCAGTCTGATCCTAGTTTTCCTCGCCTGGGTCAAATGATTATGGATTATGATGCGCCATTAAAAAAACTTTCAGAAGAGTTTGTTCCACATGCTAAATTATTGAAAAATGCTCTCACTTCCTTATGGCCTATTTATCCAGGAAGGAACTTATCTGCTGATACATGGAGAGCAGATAAAAAACTGAGTCTCGTTGATAGTCCTGGGAAAATACTTAAAGCAGTAGCAACGGATACCATGTCTTGTGAAACTTTAAGTTTAGACAGAATAGAAAGATGGGTAATTTTAGGTTTCACACTTTGTCATTCATTTTTAAGCCAAGAACAGCCTAGTAAACTCTGGACCACAGCTTTAGAGTCAGGTTGGGTTTTAGCCCTGTTCAGAGATGAAGTAATTTACATTCATCAATATATACAAGTATTTTTTGAAAGTATAAAAGGATACAGCAAGAGGGTGTCTGAAGTGAAAGAATGTTATAACCAAGCAGTACAAAAAGCAGGTTACAGACATAGAGAAAGAAGAAAATTTTTAAGAACAGCTCTGAAAGATTTGGGCTTAATTTTAACTGACCAACCTGGTCTTTTGGGACCAAAAGCATTATTGGTTTTAATGGGACTATCTCATGCAAGAGATGAAGTTTTATGGCTTTTAAGACATGGTGTGAATCCTCCAACACAAGGGAAAGGCAAAGGAAGAGGAGGAGAAGATTTAGTGGATCGTCAATTGCCAGAATTATTATTTCACTGTGAAGAATTAAGAGCATTAGTGAAGAAATATTCCCAAGTACTACAGAGATACTATGTGCAATTTTTATCAGGGTTTGATGCTCCTGCATTAGATCAAATGATTCAGAATCTCCCAGTTTGTCCAGAAGATGAAGGAGCAATTCTTAGTGACATGTGTTCAAAAATAGCTAGTCTAACAGTGAAACAAGTTGAAGATAATGAACTTTTCGATTTCCGTGCTTTTCGATTAGATTGGTTTAGATTACAAGCGTATATGTCTATCGCAAAGTGTAACATGAATCTTGCTGATAATAGAGAATTAGCATCATTTATGGATACAGTTGTATTTCATACCAAAATGGTGGATAATTTAGACGAAATGTTGGTTGAAACATCTGATTTGTCCATCTTTTGTTTCTATAGTAAAGTATTTGAGGATCAGTTTCATATGTGCTTAGAATTTCCTGCTCAGAACAGATATATTGTTGCATTTCCCTTAATATGCAGTCACTTCCAAAGCTGTACGCATGAACTGTGTCCAGAAGAACGTCATCATATTCGAGAAAGAAGTCTTTCTGTTGTCAATATGTTTTTGGATGAGATGGCTAAAGAAGCAAAAAATATCATTACAACTATTTGTGATGAGCAGTGTAATATGAGCGATAAGCTGTTACCAAAACATTGTGCTTTAATGATCTCACAAGTGGTGAATCGGAAGAAGAAAGATAAAAATAAGAAAAATATGTATGAAATTCATAAACCTGGTACAGAAAGCTATAGGAAAACAAGAGAAGAACTTACTACAATGGATAAACTTCATATGGCATTAACAGAGTTATGTTATGCTATTAACTACTGCCCCACTATCAATGTCTGGGAATATACCTTTGCACCACGAGAATATCTACATCAACATTTAGAATCAAGATTTGCCAGAGCACTTGTTGGAATGGTCATGTACAATCCAGATACTAGTGAAATCGCTAAACCATCAGAACTCTTTGTTAGTGTTAGATCCTACATGAATGTCCTTCAAACTGTTGAAAATTATGTACACATAGATATAACACGCGTATTTAACAATGCTCTTCTTCAGCAGACCCAAGAATTAGATAGTCATGGTGATAAAACTATTGCTTCCCTGTACACTCAATGGTATTCCGATGTTTTATTAAGAAGAGTTAGTGCAGGGAATATTTGTTATTCGGGAAATCAAAGAGCATTTGTCAGTCTATCAGTAGAAGGAGCGATACCTTTCAATGCCGAAGAATTTTCCGATATCAATGAATTAAGAGCATTAGCTGAACTCATTGGACCATACGGTATGAAAATGTTAAGCGAGAATTTAATGTGGCATATAGCGAGTCAAGTACAACAATTGAAAAAATTAGTAGCCGGCAACAAAGATGTACTTATCGCTTTGAGGACAAATTTCGATAAACCAGAAGTAATGAAGGAACAATTCAAGAGATTGCAACAAGTGGATAATGTATTACAACGAGTTACAATTATAGGTGTAATTCTAAGTTTCAGACAGTTGGCGCAATCTGCATTAGTCGACGTCTTGGAAGAACGCATACCTTTTCTTTTGAGCTCAATTTTAGACTTTAGGCATCACTTGCCATCCGGAGATCCCATGCGTGTTGTTTCGGAAATGACGTCAGCGGCAGGTTTAACCTGTAAGGTCGATCCAACGTTAACGGCAGCTCTAAGGAGCCAAAAGTCAGAAGTTGACGAGGACGAACATTTGCTCGTCTGTTTGCTGATGGTTTTCGTAGCGGTGTCGATTCCAAAATTGGCACGAAATGAGAACTCCTTTTACCGCGCATCCCTTGAGGGGCACTCTAATAATATACATTGCATGGCGACTGCTATAAATAATATTTTCGGTGCGTTGTTCACTATTTGTGGGCAAAATGATATCGAAGATAGAATGAAAGAATTTCTTGCTTTGGCAAGCTCCAGTTTACTTAGATTGGGACAGGAGGCGGATAAAGAGGCTATTAAAAATAGAGAATCGGTGTACCTTCTGTTGGACCAAATTGTCCAAGAATCGCCGTTTTTAACTATGGACTTGTTAGAAAGCTGTTTTCCGTATGCATTAATACGAAACGCATATCACGATGTTTATAAGCTTGAACATTCGCAGCCATGAAAACATTAATAAAGAATCATGTACTTTTAGCTTGCCACTCAGGGCTCCTTTTCTACGTCCACTTTTACTTTGGATATTATTTAAAACGATGCATTTTTGTATAGATCAGTACCTCCTATTTCATATTTGATATCTGGCTTTGGATATATTATGACATAAGTACTATATTTTCTTTCTCAGTATTTCGTTGTATATCGTATATCGTATCGGTACATAAGGGATGTTGTTTTATATTATCATAGGCGAAGTGTAAAATGCTGTCTGTCTAAGAATCGAGATACACACGTATCATAATATAAATATCACTCTATCCGCTACATTTTTTCTAATGTACAATTGTAACTTTTACAATAGTTTATAAAATAAATAAAATTATCTACAAATTGTCTCTTCATTTCACTTTAAGCTCGAACTCGTATTATATTTGATTCCCTAAAGGAATTGTTCTTTAAAGCGTTTAATTTCATGGATTTAGATTTATTTTATACAAGGCATAACTGTTAGGCTGAGTAATAGGCTGATTATAAAATGTTAATATTATAATAAGTTATTTATGATAATTATTTTTAAGCGATTAACATTATTTTATTTTTGTATTTATGAAATTTCGATTAAGTTTTCGCAGTTCTTTTCTTAAGAAATTGTATTTTATAAGGATTATCAGATGCAAAGGTGAACAATACAATTCTATAAATGTAAAATGTATGCTTTATTTACTTCTTTACAATGTTTTTGTTTTTTCTCTTTAATCACATTAACATAACACAAGAGATTTACAATCATATTCCTTTTTATTTATAATATTCTTAAAACACTCGCCGCGTTCTAAACATTTGAGAAAAAGAGAGAGTGGTGGTCTGAAGCTACGTTCAGGCGATTGGTCAGTATCATGCTCAATAAGATTTATATAAAAAAAAACAAATTCAACTAAAACGGTACAGCTAGACAGTGTAGGTATTACGAAAAGAAGTACAGAATATAAAAACACTACGGCACATCGAATGTAAAAAATAATTCGGTAGTTCTGGTAATATTTCAAGCAACGATTTGAAAGAAACGTACGGTCTTGGTGAAACGAGACGACTTATTTGGCAAATGAAACGTATCGGAACGGATTAAAGGGAACTAATATACGAGATGTAAATAATCTCAGATGCACGATGTTGATAGGTCACCACATTTTTGGATCGATAGAAAAAATATAATCTTCGATTTCTTTTTTGTTTCTTCCTCACTAACATTATGTACAAGTGATAGAGTAGTGTTGTATCGCGTCACAATGACACGGGTCTGGATTAAGATAGGTACATAGAGAAGATGCTGATCCTCCTAGAGAGATGCTCGTTCGTGTCCCGGAGAGTACGTTTTATCACAAAATGTGCAGCGGAACGCACGATTGCGGAATAATAATAGAACTCGATCTTAATCCAGACGACGCAGAAATGAATAAGCTTAAGCATACGTAGTAGAAACTTCTCGGGGAAGGATGGGGAGCCGGAGGATTTGGTGGTAGTGGTGTTGGTGGCAGTGGTGGCGGTGGCGGGGGAATGGGGGGGGAGAACAAATGATGAAGGAAAACGTACTTTTGTTCCTTAATCGTTATGCTTCTCATACGGATAAGCGACGTCATCGTCAACTAGATACTACAACTTGGTCCCATTCCACGCTCGTCTTAGGCTTTTACCTGAATCTAAGTAACTTTACTATTCCCATTCATGTTGTCCTTGCCTTATCACGCGAGGACCGCGCACTGTACTCTTTTTGATCGTATATTCAGTCGTTTGAAATGTAACTATGGCAGTGAAATGGAAGCAAGGATAATTCATCACGAACTATATTTGAAACGTCGACCGACTCGTCCCGAGTAAAATCTAATCACACCTACGTCACGAATGCTGTTCGAATGGCAGTGTCCCGGACGCAAAAATGATCAACAATACCGTTCTTTTAAAAAATATCTACGATTTCACCGTCGCGTTGACTCACGGACTTACCGCGGTATCGATAAAACTCCACGTTGCCCATTGTTTTTACATCGAATGATCTCCCAACGAATCCGAGTCCCCCGGGTCCTCTTGCCGCAAACACAGTTACCGTAAATTACCGCGTCACGTTTCGAATAATAATAAATCTAAAATACGAAATCCTTTGGCTTATGAGCGAGATCGATTTTTATCTCGCCGCACGCTATCACGAATGGCAGTAAATCACATTCACGCCGACAGACGTGAATTCATTACGTCGAATCGACCGAGAAATCACGAAAACTAAATCAAGCAACGGTCGGACGAGCGATTGCGAATGGGACCAAACGGAATCCCGTTGCATCTATAATGCAAGAAACTTTGAAACTTCTTATATAATCTACATCGAACGATCCGTTCCGGTCCACGCTGGATCGTCGTTAAAACTCGTCACCTTAAAAAGTTAAGTGCTCGATTACACGCACGTACAGGCATTCGTTTGTCATCCTTGTTAACTTCCGTCCCGGTTACAAAATACAGAATAATATTTCGCTATTATACAGATCTGATATAAAAACAAGTATTTTTTTTGTATTCGCTTTACCATTCCTTATGGTTATATATTTACCGTTCCCTGATGATTGTGCCGTATGTATACGCAATCCACGTGGTACACGCATGCCATGTATATATACACACACAATATCAGCGTATGTACATAAGTTAACACTCTCTCTTTTATTCTTGC